TCTTAGTTTGTAGAGCATAACTAAATATTTTTCGCATCTGAACCTACCGACAATGTTTGAAATTGCTTAGATATCATTACGATAGTGTGAGATTTCGATGAACATATACGAAAAAGTAAATGTATGTAGAGGTGCGCACGGCGGCGGTGGAGGCGGTGTGCCAGCTGTCGCAGGAGAGCGCGATGTTCGCGACCACGTCGCTGGACTTCCTCGTGGACATGTTCAACGACGAGATCGAGGACGTGCGCGTGCGCGCCATCAACAGCCTCACCAAGATGTCGCACCACATCGTCCTGAGAGAGGACCAGCTGGAGATCATTCTAGGCGCTCTAGAGGTACATTGGACAAATTATATACCATGCTTCATAGTTAAATTTGATAAAAACATTTTCAACTGCTCTCTGTTTAATTTTCACAGGACTTTTCAATGGATGTCAGAGAAGGTCTGCACAGGATGCTGGGATCTTGCACAGTCGCATCTAAAACGTGTCTAGAAATGTGTATCGATAAAATATTAGAGAATCTCAAGAGATATCCTCAGGTAAAACATAAATATGATACAGTACAAGAAATAAAATAAAATAAAAATTTAATTATTGAAGATAGAAAATCGCGTAAATTTGTATTCTAGTAACTTAAGTTCGAATTCTCGTAATTATACTTAGAGTTCGCGTAATCAGACTTTGGGTTCGAATTATTTCGGGTATGCGTAATATAACTTCGTGTGCGTATAATTTAGGGTAAGCGTAATTTAACTTTGGCTTCGCGTAATTATACTTCGGGTTCACGTAATTCTATATCGGGTATGCTTATTTTGACTTCGGCTTTAAGTCCGGGGCTGCGTGTTGCAGGACAAGCGGTCGACGTTCCGTTGCGTGCAGCGCATGGGCAGCGCGCACGCGGCGCTGGTGCTGCCGCTGGCCACGCGCCTGCTCGCGGTGCATCCCTTCTTCGACATGCCGGAGCCGGATGTGGAGGATCCGGCTTGTATCCTTTTATATAATAATATTATTTTAACAAGTGATTAACAATAAAACCAACTATTTTGCAAATTGAGACTTTTCTTTGAAACCGCTTTCTATGGATCCAATATTAGTTGAATCTTGTATTACTTTTAGATATGTTTGAACTTGTAGATAGTTTCTTTAACGGTATGAACCAGACATGTGCATCCTGATCCTGGTGCTGAACGCGGCGCAGCACTGCACCACCATGCTGCCGCTGTTCGAGGAGCACACCATCAAGCACTACACCTACCTCAGGGACACCATGCCGCACCTCGTGCCGCATCTGCCCATCGGTCAGTACACCATACATTATATTTCAAATAATCATTCCTTAATAAATTTATATTTGAAACTAGCTGTCATCCGGAATAAAAATGCTTGTTTAATAGTCTATATGTTTTTCTAGACTATTTTCTACATCTATGCTAAATTTCAGCAAAATCCTTTTAGCCATTCTGGAAATATGTACTAACCAAACATCCATCCTTCTAAACTAAAAAACTACTGGGCCGATTTTAAATTATTTGACTAGTAAATATTGTGGACTATGTCAGTGAGTAACAGTCTACACGTTTTATTTCACGCGAGCAATAGCAAGTTTATAACATTGGTATAGAAGCGAGAACTGAATCAGGAGCCTAAAACGGAGGTCCGTGGTCTCTGCCTACCCCCATGTGTTACAGGCGAGTCGCAGATATCTCGCAGCGACCGCAGCGAGCCGCTGGACGACAGCGCGGTGCGCCGCTTCTTCGACACCGTGCTGCAGCACATCGACAACTCCGCGCTCTCCGCCGCGCTGCGCCTCAACATGCTGCGCTCCGCGGAGGACCAGCTCAATAAGTACAGTATCTCATCTATCAATACATCTCACATAACCTCTCAGTGACAGTGACATTTCAGTTTGACAGATGTCAATTTCTATGATTCAATTAGAAACTAAAATGACATACCGGTTCTTTATTGCCACAGATAATTACCCACGAATGCACCAGAATTATGTTTTTTATTGAAATATAAACTAGTCCTTGATCACGGTCCTACCTGATAGGTTATGTTAGTGATTAAGAATTTTCCCATTTGTAATGGGGAGAAAACTGGCAACTTGAAATGGGCGCTCGTGGTAACTGTTCTTTTCGTGGTCGTTATTTTATTTGACACAAATAAATTATAGGACATGTATAGTGACAAAAAAGAAATATTTCTCCTTATTGAGTGTAAAACT